TGGCATCGCATCCTCCCATTCCTTATCACTGTCTAATAACTCACACGAAATCTGGAATCGGTAAGTTGAATAGTTACAAGTTATGGCTTTATAAACAAATTAACTAATTATTAATCTGCATGATCCCGAGCATCTCCCACAATCGCACTGATTTTTTTATGGTAGATTTCATATAATACATTGAAATCTATAATTTTTTTTTAATTTCAAATTTGCAACCTGGAATTTTTTTATTTTTAGCCTTAGTTGCAAAATGAAATATACGACGCACGAGCGTGATATAGTTATATATTATTACAGATTCGGGATGCTTATGAAGAGAGCTTTAAGTTAAAAAAAAAATCGTCAAGATTCGTTGAAAAACAACGGAGTTACAGACTGTCAAATATATTATTTTCAAGCGAATTTCGGTTATTTAACGCTTGCGCCACCCTTCCGCCGCGCCACGGCTCGGCGAAAATCAAACGACCCACAGACTTTTGACAATATTTCTTATGCACTTACCATACTTCCACATATAAAATATTTTTATCTGGGAAGTACTCGAGTTGCCGGTATTTTTTGCCGCTACCAACCTAATTTGTTTAACAATAGGCCGTCAACTTTGACAGTCTGTAACTCCGTTGTTTTTCAACGAATCTTGACAACTTTTTTTTAACATAAAGCTCTTTTCATAAGCTTTCCGAATATGTAACAATATAAAAAATGGTAGATTTCAATGTATTATTATGAAATATAGGTACCATGAAAAAAATCAGTGCGATTGTGGAAGATCCTCGAGATCGTCTAGACTAATAATTACTTAATTTGTTTATAAGGCCGTAACTTGTAAACTATTCAACTTAACCGATTCCTGATTTCGTGTGAGTTATTAGACAGTGCGATGCGATGCCAAAACGTTCCGGTAATAATAACGCAGTTTATAAATGTTTAATTCAAAAGTCAAATAAACTTCTTCTGTTTATAACTTTTGTTCTAATCAATATTTTTTGACGCTCAGGGCTAGTTTTGTAGGTCTTTTGAAGACGAAAAAAAAAGTACTTTACTGTTTTCTCGTGGAAATGAACGGAAAAAAGTTATAAGCGAAAAATGTGAATGGTCATTTCTCAGCTTATTTTCCTGGCCTAATAATTGTCAATAACTCAGCAACGACTCATCTGTTCAATAGCGGATTAATAATGAATGAATGAAGAAATATTTTCTGTAAGTTTCATGGGGTTAACTAATGTTTAGAAAATTGACAATTGTACGACATAACATAGTATGGGATCATTGTGGTTCTCAATCAACTGACATATCGAGATAGCAATTATATGAAATTTACTTAACTGTTATAAAATGCAAGATTCTGAACATGGTAACTGCAGTTTGCATCAAAATAAAAATTCATGTAATTTAATATATTTTTGTACAAATTACAAGTTGAAAAAGACAGAGTAATTATTTCCAATTTGCAGACCTGTGTACTGACGTACCTCCCCATCATATTATCTGGTTTTCTAATTACCCAATGCTACGATTTGGTCAAGGTTTTTAGTGACGCGGGTCACCGTTTTAAGCTGTCATTATCTTTTTACATAAGCCATTACTTCCATTAATTAGTCAATATGTTATTGATGTCAAGAGACGTTATGTGATACTTATAATTACACGCGAACTTTGCTTGTTGCAAGTAAAAATTAACATTAGCACTATTATTATTATGTGTTAAGGCAAACAAACAGTTCCACAGAACCAAGATAACCGAGCGTTTATCAGTGGGTATAATACGTACATATAAAAGAAGGATGGGTAGTACATAATTCTAAAGTAACAATTATTTGATAATTAACTCAATTTGATGTTGGTTTTTATGTACAGTACCTTAATTTCACTTGAGAGTTTAGTTTTCGTTTTTTTTTTCTTTAGGAAATAACTAAGGCACTAGATGAATGTTCTTTCAGCTTTTTAGGTTAGCCTCGTGGGAAAGGCTGATGACCTTTTTAAAAAATAGGTTAATGTTAGTAAAAGTTAAAAATGTGACATCGGATTGTCTAAAAACAACCTCTGGAGTGCCCCAAGGGCCTGTTCTGGGTCCCCTAATATTTTTATTATTTATCAATGATTTGCCCAAATATATACAAACTGAAATGTTAACAATATTTGCTGATGACACGTTTTTGTTGGTCTCAGGACATACCTTCGAGGAGTTGGTTTTATCTTCGGAGATTACATTCAAACATTATGTAAATTGGAGTAGCAACATTGGCCTGATACTAAATATTGAGAAAACAAATTGCATATACTTCCAGAATCATGGAGTAATTGAAGAATTAAACCTAACTTTTTATAATTCAAACATAAAGTCAACAGATTAAACAAAGTTTCTTGGGATTATTGTAGATAGGAATCTTACGTGGTCAGCCCATATCGACTTGTTAAGTAAAAACTCAATAAATCATATTATGCTATCTGTCGCATCAGAGATTGTTTACCAATTTCTGATGTAATTAATATGTACTATAGCCTTGTGTATAGTCACCTAAGTTATGGTGTGGAGTTTTTTGGTAATGCTTTGCAGAGTCAAAGAATATTTGTTGTCCAAAAACGAATTATACGTAACATGTTTAGGGTTCCGGATAGGGGATCATGTATCATGTATGTATGTTTCATTAATTGACTGTTTACTTTTCCCTGTATATTTATACACAAAACATTGTTATAAGCAAGAGAATTTGCGAATAATTTAGCAAAAAGTGGTTCCTACCATGACTATCTGACTAGGCATAGAGACCTGTTGTGTATTCCAGGGCATAAAACTACCAAATTTGAGAAATCTCCATTGTACATGGGAATAAAGCTTTACAATCATCTAGCACCACATTATAAATTAATGACATAATTTTTAAAACTAATGTAAAAAAATACTGCCTATATACTATAAATGAGTATCTTGCTGACACATTTGTGTAGTGGATTGTATGTTTGTAACATCTGTGGTAATACTAACTTGTCCTATACATATATAAAGGGATAATAAATGTTATTATTATTATTAAACAAATATTTTTCGTATTTTTGACATTTCTAGTATGATTAACCTCTGTTGGAAACACTATAATGTACTTATGTGTCTGGATGGAAGTAAAGCAACATTTTGAAAAACTGATATTTTGGTTTTCTGAGTAAGAAAATCCTTTGGCTGTTAAAAAATTAAATATTTATAAATAAGTTTTTCTCCAGCAGGACGATGCGTTTCTTTGGTGGTGAAATAAACTCGGGAAGTGAAATCAGTGTAGTTTTATAATAGTTGCAATAAGCTCATACATACTTTATAATTTTATGGTTATTTTATCTTTAAACCACAATATACAAATAATTAACACCTCCTTTTAACAATCTCAACGGGCTTATAAAGTTGTAATAAAGCTTATGCCGAACGATAGGTTAGTTTTATAAGCTCCCATAAGCCAAAATGTTGACATTCAATAACAACAATATATTTTTGCTGCGAAATTAAAGTTACTATTAGAAATCTTTTTACAGAAACAGTTTAGACTAGACGGTTTTTTCTCAGGCCAATTTGTAATAAATTTTTCTCTGTTTATTAAATTTAAGACAACTGCATGTTTGAAGATAATATATAAACACTTATATATTATCTTCAATTAATAAATAAATCCGAAATCTATAAGCTCTTTTGCATTCATAATAATCAAAACATATGCCATCTTCATCATAAACCCTTGACACGGATTTTATATCACACGAACAGAACACCAATTTTCTTTAGGTTGTAGTTCTTTTCTCATTTATTTCAAATAATCAAAATTAAACTTAAACATAATATGCATGAAGAGTTTCCAAAGGGAAGTCCTTTATTCATAGATTTAAGAGAAGATCAGTTTTCGTCAGTTCTAAACAGGTCCTCACTTACCTGTATTTTAAGAATTTATTCAAATTGACTTGCTTTAAGTTGCTTTGATTCCATGCTACCTTTTATCGATTTTTAAAGACACTACATTGTCCTACCACAGTTAATTTCGATGCGTGCTCACCTGAAACTTGTTTTTATAACATACACGTTCTACTATCATTAAAATCAATTTCACATTTGGGACCTAAACATTTTTTTAATATGATTTTCGTACCTGTTTATACGTGCAGCGAAAGCGTTTTCCACCGGCGTTTTTCCACCTGAACGTAATATTTTATCATTTATTGTTATAAATAAAGTATACAAATAATTTCAGCTTTGGTACTATTAATTTTTTTAAACATTTTCCAATGCGGGAGTGGCTGTATTACTCCCAGCTCCACCCGAAGAGCAGCAGCTGAAGTCGTTTCGTTTATGTACTATGAAAGACCTTACATATGGATAAAAATCAGCCTTGGTACTATTTGCCACTAAAATGTACCGCGGGCTCTCGGACTAACAAGGATAGCAAGATATACTGCTTGTAACAAAAATCAAATTTCTACGTTAGTGATACATTTGGACTGATTCCTATATTCTTTTTTCTTGGGAGACAAATAATACCAGACATGTTTTAATTTATTCAACTGTATAATTTAAAAGACATATATTTTATTATTAGTTCTCACATTTTTTATTTAATTTAAGGGTAGTTATTAGGCATTTCAAACAAATTCAAGAATTTTTTTTAATTTTATTATCTACATTAAACGTCTTTAGAGATATTTGGATAAATATTATATATTTTTGAACTTGACTCGCATCGAAAACCAAACATTTCTCACCCATGTTTATAGAATTTTTTTTCCTATTCTAAGGAGTTACATCACCAGGTAAAGTTGGCTTATGTCATTCAGAACACGCTATATTAACTACTATTTGTATTTTACACTATTTCTGTTTTTCATAACAGAAATTCTTTAAACTATTTCATGTAAAATGGCGATAAAGTAATGCATTCTGCTCCATTAATCTTAGTAAAGAACAATGACTGTCTTTCAGTTAAGACACCCAAATGAATAAAATGTATAAAATATTGTTACAGTTGGAGCCGAAAAAATGCATGGAGTGGTACGTGACGGCGAGCAAGGGTGACTTTCAAGAACTTTTAAAGCTTGCTAATGCGGAGCCGAGGCTGGTCAACAAAAAGGTAAGTGCTTCTGTTTTTGTACCTGGGTGTTTTCTACCTTATTGGTTATACCCGTTTAGAATTAAAGCCAAGTTCAACTGAACTTGGTTTAATTTTAAAACTAGGTTTTAATAATCAGCTTTTGCACCACTTACTGCCGATTGTAGATTAAAGTAAACTGAGCTGTAAGAATTACTGTTTAGGAATTTTGTTATGCTGCTAACTTATGTCATGTTCGAAAAAAAATATGTCAAAGTTAAATTTTTAAACCTAACGTAATAACCTAATTTACTTTATTGTGATAAAAAAATTCAGTTTAGTAACCTAACACCTTAAGAAATTATGTAATTTTATAGAACTCATGATGCACACTAACTATTTATTCTGGGTTTGGCATTTTTATGTATCTCTGATAAAGTCGAGTTATTACAATTGATACTCGTACAATTATTCTGGACACTGTTGATATGTCCATCCCTGAAAAGTCTGCAATGGCAGACAAATTACCAGCTCCAGCATAGATCCGAAGAGCAGTCATCAATTGTTGGATAGGATATACACTATTATTCCTAGAAATACAAAATCATATTAAGAATAAAAGTTTTTTATAACTCCAAAATTCTGATTGCCAGATGTAATGTGGTCTCTTTTGTCAACCTATTGTCTAGGTATTGTGTAGATCAAATTACTGTAGAAATGATCAAATTATGTTTACCTTTTTGTTGTGACGCTATTACACATATAATCAATATGTTACTAAACAACAGCATTGTGCCGAATCGGTGGAAACATGCGTTAACAACCCCTATTCCGAAAAAGGAAAATATTTCCCAGTTCACAGATTTTAGACCTATTAGTGTGCTACCTGTTTTCTCTAAGATATTAGAAGGAGTTGTTCATGGTCAACTAAAAAGTCATGTTGATAAATTTGACATATTGCCGAATAAACGATCTAGTTTTAGGAGCGGTTACAGCACAACTACGGCTCTTACGGACATAGTTGATGACTTATTACGATGATTTGACAATTCTATGGTAACCCCTCTTATCTTGCTAGATTTTTCAAAAGCTTTTCATTGCTTAGATCATGAACTTCTATTGGCTAAATTAAATTATTACGGCATTTCACCGAAAACTTTAAAATGGTTCAGTATGTACCTCTCAAACAGACAACACCAGGTAAGAGTAAAACTCAACTCGGAGTCTATATATTCAAACCCGTTAAATATATCCAGTGGAGTCCCCCAAGGATCTATACTGGGGCCTTTACTTTTCGTCATTTATACTGCGGATATCCCTAATGAAATACAATATAGTAAGGTGCATTTATATGCTGACGATTGCCAGTTATATTTGCCCTTTTCAACAGATAATTCAGATTTGGCTATTACTCAAATGAATAGTGATCTTAATAACATATACAATTGGTCTGTAAAAAATGCATTGCTGTTAAATCCACAGAAAACAAATGTTTTGTTAACGGGATCAAATACCCACCTTGGTAGAGTAGATTTGCAAGGCAGGCTTTTGCTGAATAACACTGTTTTACCAATAAATAATCAATGTAAAAGCCTTGGCATTACTCTAGATCCAAAATTTTCTTTTACATTTCACATCGACAATATAATCAAAGCTGCGTATGCGAGGTTGAGATGTTTATACAAATTTAAATTTATTTTAAGTACGCCTGTGAAATTAAAAATAGTTGATACTCTAATTCTATCCTTATTTGATTATTGCGATACAGTGTATGGTCCTTGCTTATCATTTTATGATGCACATAGAATTCAGGTCTTACAAAATACATGCATGAAGTTTTCTGTGAATATTAAAAGAAGGTATCACATTACTCCAAGCTACATTGAACATGGTTGGTTAAAAATGAATGTGAGAAGAGAAATTCACTTTGCCTGTTTTATTCAGAAAATAATTATTACAGATAAGCCTACATATTTAAAAGAAAAAATTATTTTTGCAGATCAAATACACAGTAGGTCTAGAAGGAACCCTTTCTTATTAATAATACCTCGGCATATAACAGCTACCTTTAGAAAATCGTTTTCCTATTACGCGCCTTTGTTATTTAATTCGTTGCCAGATGATCTTAAACAGATAAAAAATATCAGTAGTTTTAAAAAGAAGGTAAAAGTTTATTTTAGTAGTCCTCATTAGTAAATTGTTGTCAGTGATGATGTGGTATTAAAATGTAGTATAAAAACGTATGTAAGAAATATCAAGTCGTGCGAATATTTTTTTATTAAATTCCAATAATTCTGACTCCACAAATATGATTGTGATGTGATTATGGATAAAACGTATTGCATTCGTGTTTTAATTGCCTTTTATCCACTTAAGAATATTAAATACACGAACTACGTTCTCGCGTTTAAACATTCTTGCGTGAATAAAATGGAAATTAAAACACTTATACAATAAATAACTATGTTACACAAAAATGTTGTTTATATTTTTATTTTAGTTTTATTAATTGTTTGATATGCTTTACAACTGTAATACCTGAAATATCATACGTAAACAGTCTATTGTAAAATATTAAAATATTTTAATGTCCGTTAATAATATTTTGTTATCAAAAAATTGTGTTTCTATAATATAATAATTGGATGTTACTGAAGTTACATTATCCACGAGCTGTACGTCCTTGCTGACTTTAATCGCAGTTTTCTCAAAAACAGCTCGGTGCTTCTCAGCGATATTCAACAAGTATACCATTTATGCTGAAAAATCATTGAAAATTTGAAAAATCTTATTTATTTCCACTTTACAATGGCGTGACATTTATTTTTTTAGAAAAAAATCTCGAAAATATCGTTTGCACGCTACTGTTTTTTTGTATTGACGTGAAATCGCAGCAAATGATGTAAGTCCCCGTTAAAACTCCCCATATCGAATTAGAAAAAAATCCCTTAACGTATCTCTGAGATATGTTCGAAAATCGTTTTTATTTTTTCAAATTCAACACCCTTATATCGAAAACTAAGTATTTATAGGCAACATTGTATATAACTTTTCCTCATTAATTTTAATCGTATGGTCTAGTGGTAAAGTTTGGTCAGTTCTTTAACGGACACCCTGTATATACACACAGCTTTTCTTATGTAAAACAAGGTAATAGAATACATCATGGAAATATTTATAGTCCTAATTAATTCAGACCAGTAGAACAGTTGTTTTGATAACGCTAACCAAGTAATAGTGATAACACTTTTAGTGGGTAGTGCCGTGAGTAATACGTTTCCTTATTCTTAACAGGTTCTCGTTGTAATGCTTCACAGATCAGTGAGTATGCGATAGGAAGTAGTGGACTGATTTTATTAATTTACAGTTAACAACGTTCTGATATCGTAGTCAGGAACAGTTTTTTTACCGATTATCTGTCTACATGTTTGTTTAATTTGACTTACAATTAGTATACAGACAAATAACAAGTATACACAACGAAAATTCCAATGGATTAGTAGTAGGGGAAATTGAATCCTTAATTTTGTGCTGAAATAACAGAGTTTTTCATATCTGTTCGTATTCATCAATGTAATACTTAAGTTTTTTTTGCCAAAAAATGGTTGAAAATAAAACAATATAATATTATTTGGAAAATGAGACTCAAAAAATAGGGATTTCGTTCGTGTTGCTCAATAAGCCTTATAGTACAATTAAATGGGACTTAAACTTACATAAATTTTTGATATAAGTTAGTTTGAAGTATATAATAACAATAAGTGACAGTAATTTTTTTTCAACAACCGGCCAGGGGTGAAAAAGATAAAATAAATGTTTTTTTCTAGATAACTGAAAAGGGGTAAGAGCTATCGGATAGTCTGTAACTCCGTTATTTTTCAACGAATCTTGACGATTTTTTTTAACTTAAATCTCTTTTCATAAGCGTTCCAAATATGTAATAAATATATAACTATATCACGCGTATGCGTCGTATATTTCATTTTGCAACTAAGGCTAAAAAATAAAAAAAACTTTCCAGGTTGCTTTGAAATAAAAAAAATGATATATTTCAATGTAATATTATGAAATTTACCATGAAAAAAATCAGTGCGATTGTGGAAGATGCTCGGGATCGTCTAGACTAATAATTAGCTAATTTATTTATGAGGCCATAATTTGTAAACTATTCAACTTACCGATTCCAGATTTCGTGTGAGTTACTAGACAGTGATAAGGAATGAGAGGATGCGATGCCAAAAGGTTCTGGTAATAATAACGCAGTATATAAATATTTAATTCAAAAGTCATAAATAAACTTCTTCTGTTTATAACTTTTGATCTAATGAATATTTTTTGACGGTCGAGGGCTAGTTTGGTAGGTCTTTTGAAGACGAAAAAAAAAAAATATTTTACTGTTTTCTCGTGGAAATGCACGGAAAAAAGTTATAAGCGAAAAATGTGAATTTACGTAAAAATTATACAATTAACCACCCTGTAAACAATCTTCCCCCATTTTTATGACTGTGAACACTAATATGTTTCTTATTATATGCGGATGATATGAAGATATTTTGTCCCATAGCCAATGAATGTGATGCACGTAATCTGCAGAGAAATTTGGATTTGGTAAACTCCTGGTGCGCTGACAATAGATTACCTCTTAATGTGGCAAAATGTAACGTCATGTCCTTCAGTCGGCAGTTGAGGCAAATTTCGTATGACTACCGATTACACGGGTCCAGACTAGTTCGGCCAAATGTTATTAAAGATCTAGGAGTCTATTTCGATCCAAAACTTTCTTTCAGGCAGCATATGGATTTTATAGTTAAATCTGCCTACAAGAACCTGGGTTTTGTCGTGCGGAATATGGCGGGTTTTCAGGAATCCCAACACTTTTAAACTGCTATACGGTGCACTGGTCAGATCTAGACTGGAGTATGCGTCTTTGGTTTGGACTCCTATTTATTCTATTCATGTGTCATGCTTAGAAAGAGTTCAACGTCGATTTTTTAAACTAGCGGTGTTCGCGCTTGATGGTCACTACCCGCCGAGGGGCTTCCGCAGGAGGCATTTTTCGAACGCTTCAACATGTGCAGTCTCGCAGAACGCCGAAAAATGTATTCTG